CTTTTTGTTAAGTATTAATATATCTAATTTTTTTATTTAGAATGTTTAAATTAAAAAATTTAATATGAGAAATAATGGTAGTTTGTCTTTTTGTTAAGTATTAATATATCTAATTTTTTTATTTAGGATGTTTAAATTTAATTATTTAATATTTTTGAAATGTTATTTAATGTATTTATTTTTATTTTGTGATCATTTAAAAAAAATAATTATAATATATATTAAAAAAAGTCTTTTTAAATAATAATTAATTAAAAATACATATAAATTTTATTAATAAATTATTATATTTTTATTTTATTAGACAAAAAAATTAAATCCACCGAGAGAGTATTTTATTTAATTATAGGATGAAAATCAGAAACGAACAAATGGACAATGAATGTATTCAGTGATAAAAGGCATGCTTTCTGATTTACCACCTACCAAATGAAATTGATGTGTTGAGAAAATTTCAACTTATTGCCCGTAATTAGTGGAAGAGTGTGAGTTTATCCATAAATGGATGATGGAGCGTGCCTCAATTGTCTTTTACTACTAGTTGGTATGGTACATCGCTCTATGCAAAGAAAATACCCACATGATTTCTTTATTAAAAATTGCACCTTTCAAGTTTCTTGTGACTGGATTGTGTCGGTGATTTTTCCCACCCAGAAACATTCCAATATAAAACAAACTCACCCCATTAATCATCTTGAAATCCCCCCCATGTTTCCCTAAAAAAAATTCCATAAAATCTTAGAAAATATAGTACTAAAAATAGCAGAGCAGCAATTGGAACTGATAAGGGAGAAACTCTACTTATATGGCAGGAATTGGTGGCAGTGAGAAATCACTGAAAGCTGTTTGGTGAGGAAAAAGGGGGAGGAAGAAAGAAGACAGGACGTGCCCTTTTGGGTTTCCACGACAAAGCAACAGTCTTTTATTTGCAAAGGTAGTGCGTAGTGCCTTTCATCCTAACAATTTTTATATTCCATATTGTTGGACACATTCACATACTCAACTAAGGCAGCGGAATTAGGGGCTCTGGGGTCTGGATATCACCATCATATCCGAATCTCCGAAGAAAATCTCTCATTTTCTTTCCGTTTTCGAAGACTTGCCTTTTTAATTTCGCTTATTTGTTGGTGGGTTTGGCTATTACCAAGTTGAAAAAGCTACTAGTGGGTTGATACTCTTGTTTATTGAGAAGGGTGGTGGTGGTCTGAACTGTGTAGTGAGGAGCTTGCAGAATGAAGGGGGCAGGGGTATGGATATGGGGTTTGTTGTGGTGTGTGGTTGGGGTTGCTGCTTTGAGTCGATCTGTGGATGGCTTTGACGATTTGAGTGCCAAAGAGAGTTTGCTTTCTCTCTTGGAAACAGATGATACCTCCCCTAGTCCTGCAAACCAACTCATGGTGCCCCTCACCCTCATTCATGGAGCTGCTGCTAAAGGAGCAGGTACTCCCTCTCTACCTCTCTTTATCTGGAATATTCGTTAGTCTTCTAACCAGAACTAGAAAAGGAGGAATCTTCTTCCAGAATCTTACTTGACTCTAGTTTACATCTTGTTTTTTCCAGTGTGTTTGGATGGGACACCTCCTGGTTATCATCTCCATCGAGGGTCTGGATCAGGTGTTAACAGCTGGATCATTCACTTGGAGGT